CAGCCAGCGAAGACACATCTGTTGCATTGTGATACAGCTCTGGGACGCCAGAACTACGTACCTGCTGAGTGATCACTTTCAATCTTTTGAGCCCTTTTGATATTAGAACAACGATTTTTTTGGGCTCAGCGCCGTTGCCCGTCTCAAACGCGTGCTCAGCCAGCTCACAGCACCAGCACAAGTATGCAGGACAACAACACCAGCACCAGCACCGACGCCTTCTCGAAAACGCGCGCAGCCAGCTCATTTTGGTTGAAGTAAAAACTTCCTAGCTATCGCTGCCTGGGGAAGACCAAGATATGATCTCGTGCGCGTAAGTCTATGCGCACAAAAGCGTGCACGCAAACAGCAAAGCCCGCAAGTGGCACTGGCCCAAGGCCAAGCAGTATTCAGCGCCACTATTGCCTTTGTAGCATGCTTGAAGCAACAGTCTGTAGAACGAGTGGGTGGGTGAGTGAGTGAGTGATTGAGGAAGACCTGCATGCCCACTTGGGCGGCCCAGTTTGGGGACACGTGACCGAAAACAAGGGCAAATCTATGATTAGCCTCCCAGTTCGACGTCCACAAAGAGAAACACAATCTTCTTCAAAACCTATCCACATAGCAGAATTTGAAGCCAAATTTGGCCAGACATCGGTTTGACGATACGTAGTGAAAACATTAAAATTTCAGTTCCGGTCATGCCGAGGATATCCTGCCACACGTGCTTCCGGAGGTGTCCCTTGCAAAGTTCGTTTGACCCATCGTTCGGCGGGTGGATTGCCAATGTACAATCCGAGCGTCCAGTAAGATTCCGAACAGCGGCGTGACCTTGCCTTTACGCCATGCATGTGCGCCATGCTTTCAACATTCTCGTTCCAACAGGACTTCGTGCCAAGGGCATGACCAATCCAAATTTCCAGGACCACCCACCATACGTAGCAATTTTCGAAACAATTCGGATTGATAAAGGACGCGGTGACATTGTAGAACGATAACACCGTATAATCGTGTGCATAAGTATATGCGCAGAAAAGCGGCAGCAAAGCCCCGTAGGTTTCACTCGCCCAAGTGGCAAGTGCGATGAACCGTGGCTTGTAGACATGTGGTTTGCTTTCAGACATCGGAGGAAGTCTCCAGCGAAAGTTGCGTTTTGGCGTGTTGACGTTGATGTGGATCTTGATGCGAAGACCTCGTGGCAAGCGCAGCTTTTTGTGGACCTTGACGTGTTGATTTTCGTGGGGGCAGTACTTTGTGGAAACTGAATGCAGGTATCGTAGCAGGGGTAGTACTTTGTGGATGTGTGGGCCCTCACACCATCACCACCATCACCACCACCAGCCACGATCATCACCATCACGCCCCCATCACCACCACCACCATCACCACCACCATCGCCGCATGACCGCCATTACCATTAGCGCCACCATCACCATCACCACCACCCACCACCACCACCACCCACCGCCACCACCACCACTCCCACCACCACCGCCATCATCGCCACCATCAACGCCACCACCACCACCACCACCACGACCGCCACCACCACAACCACCACCACCATCATTTGACACACTGGGAAAAGTTATTCAGTGGAACTGTGAAAAGATGTCAAAGTTCAGGACCTCCTTAGGCCACAACCTCCAAAAACCATGTGTGTAGGCGGCACCAACGGACGTCAAGTAGTCCATTGATCTCGTGGGACATTACGTCCACCAAAGTGCGATGGGCGAGCAGTAGGCCAGCAATACCCATCACTGGATAGTGCGGAGCCTCGGTAACGGCAACCCAAAACGAAACCTCCATGGTAAATTCAATCAGAGCGTAAACAAAAAGTAATAGGTCAAAAGGTAAAAGAAACCTAGTTTGAAACGAAGTGAAATCACTAAAACCGTGACAGAACGATGCAGTTAAGACTGACAAGAACAGCAGTGTAAGTGTGAACAAAACCACCCTTAGCCATCGACCGGATGTGCGCGGAAAAAGGTGTGAGGAAAACAAACAAAACATACAAAACACGTAACATATTTGATGCCGTCTCATTGGATGCGAGCACGCATGCAGGTTTGAATGACCTAAAGACTGCGGAGCAAAGAATGCTGGCCCGTACTCTGAACTGACCACGTATATCTATTTATAGTGAGGATTTTGCGCCCTGAGGAAAGCCGGGGGAAAATAACTTTTGTTCTATTTTACATTCCTTTTCCTCGAACCCTTTTCCGCGCTGAGGCCTGTTATTTTGGCAGGTGGGTGAGATGAAAGTGCCGCGGTGTTTACTGACCAAAAAAAAATGTTTTTTCATTTGTGCATTGCTTGGTTGCTGCTTGGCAGGATTGGTTGCTGAAATTGCGCAGGAGGAGACCGCGGTCGTTGTCGTGGCATTCGACTGTTAAATCTATGTTGGGGTCCAAAACACCAAGGTTAAAGACCTCCGTTGCCGGCTAGGCTGTCCTCAAAGCGCACAACGGTTCAATCGTGTGGCTACAGAACTCCGGCTGGGGCGTTGCACGAAGTCGGATTTGAAATTGGTCAATTGAGCATCAGGTGCTTCGGTCCACAGTGGTGTAGTATTCAATGAAGGCAGTGGTGCTCGGGTCAGAGAAGGGGAACTGTGTGAAGAAGGGTCAGGAAGGCTATGTTTTCCATCGCTCAAGTGACTCCGTTGCAGTGGGGTGTGACCCGTGTGTGTGTGTGCAGGGCTGAGGTTCAGTTTGAGAGACCTTGGTTAGTGGGTCGTTCCTGAGTAGGTTCCTGCGCACCAATCATGTTCCTCACCGGAACGTGGTTGCGAACCGACAAGGTTGGGGCTCATGACACGAACTTTGGCAACCAAGTCAACGGCAGGTTGCTTGGTCGCCCCCATCCTGCCCGGAAAGGGGGTTGCGAGGGAAACAAAAGACATGAAAAGAGGACAAGGCAAGACAAAAGTGTGTGGTTGCCGATGAAAAACCAAGTGACCAGGGACAACCGATGAACCAAACCTCCTTGTAACGAACCTGGGGCGCCGAACTAAGGGCCAGCGGCCAGACCCAAGTGCACGCAAAAGAACAAAAAATCGAACATGACAGGACATGAAGACAGAAAGGACATGAAAGAAAAAGAGGAAACTGTGTGTGCGTGGGGGCCGGTGAAAGGGAAAGACACCAAATGAACGGGAACAAACCGAAGAGCCGAAGAGCAGCCGAACCTCATTGAAGGACCTGTTGTAAACGCCTGGTTTGTTGCGCGTCAGAGCTAGGGACGACGTAGTTTCGGCTAAATTTTCCCGAAGGAACTGCTGCTCTTTTTAGCTAACTTCCGTCGAGACGGCTGCGCTCGAAGCGTTCTCTATAACGGCTTTCAAGAACCACGAGTTTGTGCATGGTGGCAGCTCACATCACCCCAGTGGGCGATTTGGGTTCGATGAACTTTCAAATGGGGTACATCCTGGCTACATCGGGGAGGGCCCCTCTTTAGAGCCACCCGTGGGTGCCCGACGGTGTTGCCAGAGTTTGGGGTGCACCCTATTCACACTGGGACGAGTTATTGGGTGGAACGCAAGAAATCAACTTGATGAACCTGCAGCAGCCTGAACAACTGGAGTGGCAGTTTGAGAAGTTCAAAGGTTGAAAACATTGATTCAAACGCAGGTACGCAGTGGAGCGTCCCCCAATGTATCAGCACCAGCTGATACCCTCTTCGTTGGACGGGCGGTGTCAGCGGTGACCCGTTTTGCAACTGGCAAACTCTCCTGCTATCCTGCAACTAGCAAACCATTCGCGTGCAACAGCGGTTTACACACACACACACACCACCAGCACCGCCACCATCACCGCCACCATGTCCACCACCATGCTGCCACCACCTTCACCACCATCATCACCATCACCGCCGTCGCCACCCATCGCCGCCATCACCACCACCATCATCACCACTATCAACATCATCATCATCATCATCATCTTCATCTTCACCTTCATCTTCATCAGCATCAGCATCAGCATCATCGTCATCGTCATCATCATCATCATCATCATGACCACCACCACCGCCGCCACCGCCACCGCCACCACCACCACGACCACGACCACGACCACGACCACTACCACCACCACCACCACCTCCATCTCCACCATCACCACCACCATTACAGCCACTTTCAAAACACCATCACCACCAACATCATCACCACCATGAACATCATCATCGCCACCGTCACCTTCACCATCACCACCACCACCACCACCACCACCACCACCTGCACCACAATCATCACGATCACCACGGCCGCGACCATCACCACCATCACCCCCACCGTCACCACCACCACCACCACCATCATCACCATCACCACGGTCACCACGGCCACCACCACCACCATCACCAACACCATCACCTCCAAACCTTTTGCTTCTACACCCCTGGACCTATTACCTCTAGGCACACTGTTTGGGTCTCTTGCCGGGATGATGTATTTGTGTGTTTGTTTGTTGGTTATTTCTTTGTTTACTTATATATTTGTTTTGGCCTTGGTGGTGCGAACGCTTTTTCGGATGTTGGAGTGGCAACATGTTCCGTCCATGTGGGTTGCCGATGGTTTAACCCCCCAATGAACGTGGAGAGCAACAAGGCAACGCAAAACCGGCGTGTTCAATCCTCAGAAACCATGACTCGACAGTCATGCGGTCACGCGACCACATGGCAATAGAAACCGCAATTGATGACTGGAGCGCGACAGTACAGCCGATGGAGGAAAGGTTTAATAACATTGGCGCCCAAAACAGAATGAGTCTAGACTAATATAGAAGCAATTGCGCATGGCATGTGGTTGTTCAGCCGGGGTTTGCAGCAGGGTGGCTTTTATGGCCAAGTGATTGGCAAATGCCTAGCTTTGCCCGGCCCAAACTCAGCCAAAGCTGCTGAGATACATGAGCCTGTAGAGCCTGTAGGGCCCAAAGTCATGAGATAACTCTAGCCATCGTAATGGTGCTGGATTTTCACATGAACGCACGGTGTTTGTGTCCCACTGCGCCTTAGACATGCGTCAACTTCAAACAATTCTGGTGTTGATGACCCTGGTGAACCCCTCCTTCCGCGCCCTCGAGCAACTACCTTCCGCAACCACCTTCGCAGGGCTTTGCCGCGCGGCGGCGGAGGTGGAGATCCAGAAGGCCCCCGAGAAGGCGGAGATGTTTGTGACCACGTCGCACTTGTACAAGAGACATTTGGCCAAGTATTTTTGTGAGGGGAGTGCATCGTCATCACCTCGTGCAGATTCCCTGATAGCTCTTGAACTTGGAGTGTACCATGGCCACACCACAGCTGTTTTGGCAGCGATCTTCAAGAAAATCATTTCGGTGGACATCGAGAAGGAATACTTAGAGATTGCGGCCAAGCACTGTGATGGGCACGCGAATGTGGTTTTTCTTCACATGGACTTGATGGCCGATGATTGGGGCCTCTTCGCCAGCAACCGTGTGAATGTAGCGATCATTGACGCCAATCACCACTACGAACATGTGAGGGCCGATGCACAGAATGCCCTGCGCCACCTGCCGCAGCTGCAGTACCTGGTCTTCGATGATTACAATGAAGATGGGGTGGCCCTGGCAGTAGATGAGCTGGAACATGCAGATGTTTTAGTGGAGTGCGAGGCGATAGGACATGGTTGGAATGGATCTTTGTGGGAATTCTGGGACTGGGACCCTGCCAGTGGTCAACAGTTCAGGAGGTGGACCAATCGATCAGAAGGGAAAATCTGCAAGCGCGGCCCTGGAGCTGAAGGGACACACCTTCGTCCAAGCTTTGCAGATCGACGCTTCTTCCTTTATCGGCAGCCTTTGACGCACTTGTGTCAGGCTGGCGTGGTGCGTTTCCTTCCGAACGGGACCTTGTTGACATCTGCCTGGGACAGTGGGAGATGGACCGTGGATTCAAGACCTGGGAGGGATGTGTTGATGGTACATCTGCCTGGCATGTTGATGGAGCCTATGGAACTCTTCTTCAATTTCGGCCGAACGGCTTTCTATTTGTCTCGAAGAGGCAGTTTAGAGGCGGATTGGTTTGGCATTGGTGACCATTTGGTCCATCGCCCTTTTCAATTTGCGAGTAATTTGTTCTGATATCAGCTTTCAGCTGAACAGATTGTGTGCTGAGGCCGCATGACGTAAGTCGCACACCTGAATTTGGTCAGGTCTCACAATTACCAACCTTCATGGTCCATTTGCCAACAGGCTTGTGGAGGAGTCACATGGAACAGTCCATCAATTTCATGACCGCCTGTCAGCTTGTTTGACCAACATTCCAAGGTCCGTCCGCCCCGCCTTGCAGTCCAAACTGCCCTTCACCGCTGCCAGCGTCTTTTGGGCTCGCCTGACCCCCGCTGAAGCCGTGTGAGCGAGCTGGCCGCGAACCCAGCCTGGCGGTCCGGATGGCGTCGCCCACGGTGACCTCTGCCATGCCCGCGGTGCCCGAGTGGGCGCACCCCACGCCGTCGCCCTCGCTGATGGTCCGGAGGCTCAGAGCGACCAGCTTAGAGAGAGAGCCGAGCTTCAGGAGAAATTCGTCTACAGATGCCTACCATATCTAGAACCATTTGTAGCCGCGGCCTGTTGCAATAACTCTTGGCCTAGTCTAAGTAGCTCGGTCCGGAATGACAGCGTGTTTGGAAAGGGTTGAGGCTGAATTTGAAGGCATCGTAGCACCAAAGATACATTCAGCCAAATTTGGCTACACACAAGGTTGCAAGAACCACACGCACTTCAAACTGCAACACAGTCCTACTATCATTGCCTCCCCCCTCCCGCTCCCTTTTGATGCCCGGTTGAGGTTCGCATGCCGGACCCGAAGGCTTGGCAAGCGCCGAACTTCGGTTCCATGCGCCGAGCTCGGCGGGTGGAGATGAACGGAACGAACCACCCGAGGCTTCGGTGCCCGCCTTCGCGGCTTCGGACGAAGGGAACGGAACGAACCACCGAGGCTGAATGGCAAAGCCATGGCACCGGACCCACAGGCGGAGAACATCCGAGCGCTCTTGTCGCAGGCGGGGCCCGAAGAACTCGGCACGGCCCACGCGACGAGGCCGAAGTGACAGGATGAGATGCCAAGATGATGCACAGATTTGGATGCCAATGCTTTGGTTTCGCCAGTCAGGTTTGCATAGCACCCCAGTATTGACCTGGTGCAGAAGATAGTTCAAGTGTTTGGTTGAAATTAATTCCACTCCGGTGCATGTACGGTCTGGCAGCCCTCTACACACCGGTGAAGTAGGCAGCATTTCATGACACCGAGAGAGGGGTCTTCGATCGTGGCGACCAGGTCTGTGCGCCATTTGTCCAGGGTATGCTGCACCTCGGCACTTGGAACCATGTGAGTTCGGTTGCCAATGAATTTGATGAAGTTGCAGTGTGCACAGCAAGAGATTCTTGCAAAGGTCCTCAGGTCAGTTCTCATGGAGTTTTGTCTGGCTGGTTCCAAATAAGGGAGGCCATCAGAGCTGTCCATTGAATCAGTTTTCCGACTTTAAAGCTATGGCATATGGGAGCCCCGCGCAGCTGGGAGCGACCTGGAGTCTGACCCCTTCGGAGACCAAAAGCACTTGCGCCCGATGGTCCGCCCGATGGTCGTCCGCCCGATGGTGTCTCGGCGCGGTCGGTGCCGAGAGACGACCGGAACCGTTCAACGAACCGGAACGCGCTCAGGAATGCGGTGCCTTTGCTGCAAAACAGCCGCCGGAGCGCGGAGCGGGTCGCGTGTGTGCGTAGCGAGCTGTGGCGCGAACCGCGCAGGTGGAGCAGCTCGTGGAGAAAGAGGTCGAACGACAGGTGAAACAGCTTCGCCAGCAGGACGGTGGTTTGAGAGTCTCCAGTCAATGTCTGGGTGAGCTGTGTTTTTTACCAAAAAGATGGAACGCAGGAAGGCAGACCCGTTTGTTTTGCCAAGTTGTCTCCTGAGGAGGTTTGAGGACCCTGTGGTGGTGTCATTGTTATTTCTTTTTTGGTTCAACCACCCAACATCTCCATGATTAAGCGGCTCCCGTTGGCTGAAACCCATGAAATCCCATGAGCACCTGGAGGATCAAATCCCAGCCATGCCACCGTGGGCGCCCCGGCGCCTGAGCCGGGAACAGCAGCACAGCTACGGCGATGCCATGGCCTTCGGAGCCTCGGTTCGCCGGGATCCGTGTTCGCGCGCGGGGAGGAGGGTGTTTTGGGGTCACAAACACGACGGCACCCACGGACACCTCACAGGGAGTTTAGGGCGGTTTGATGTGCTGAGGAAAAGTCTTCGACGCGCATGCTGCTCCAGGTGCTTGGAGAAAGCGGAAAAGAAAGCGGTGAACAATGTGTCAACGTGCTTGATATGAGCAGATGATTCAACAATACATGAAGCAGAATTCCTGTTTGGCACGTATGGATGGGACTCTCCTTTCCGTAGGTGAGGATTCCATGAAGCTTGGGAATGTCTCTGCGGTTCCATTGCCTGAGGAGTCGTCTGAGGCTGGTGATGTGTGACGTGGCGTAAACACCAAGCTAATAATTGATTAGTCCAAACATCCTCAAAAAGTTAGAGCATTTAAAATTTGGAGCCTAGAAGATTCAAATTGGCCGTTGCCAACAGATTGAGAAAAGAAGAACAATCCTTCTTGAACCCCACAGACAGCAGCTGTCCTTGAGCGTTTTCGAGGATGAGGCTGAAGCAGAAGGCGACCAGCGAGGAGCCAGCGGGCAGAGGGAAGCTGTGAGGCCAGTAGGATTGAAGGACAATTGACACGACATCTCCTAATCTCCTACACCTCCACCACAGCAAACACTAGTAAAGCCACAAATGGCTAGCGGTGCCTTGATCATTTGGCAGTGGGATAGTCATTCCACCTTTGATGTTGGTTTTATGATTTCTATTGATTTCCTTCCTTTTTTCCATCCTCACAGTGTCGATCACTCCTGACTCTGTCTTCGGAGGACGCTTTCAGGCGCTCTTCGGCGGGAAAGTGCCCACATCGTGTTCCAGGCGCTCGTGGGGCATCGGGAACGGATGGATGTTGGCGGAAGATCGTCGTCGCACCACACTCCAAGATGGACTTCTAAATCGATCCCTTGCCAGGGCTATGGTGGGCTGAGGGCGAACGGCGAACCATTTTTCTGCTCCAAGTCCCTGAAAAACCTCGTGAGCCGTTTTTTCGCCAGAAGAACCCGAAACCAAAGCAGGTCCTCCTCGCGCTCCAAGTCCGAGTCCTCAGAGGAACCAAATCCCTCAGGCGCCGGGTGGGCCGCGCGGTGCGACGTGGGTCCGCGCGGTGCGTCCAGCGTGCGTCCAGCGCGCGTCCAGCATGTCCCGCGCGGTGGCCGTGCGGATGAGGCTTTGGTGGGCAGGCGGAAACGGACAAGGACCCCCTCTACCTGCAATGGTCCCAAGGCGCGACTGGGGAAGGGTGGATGAGAAGACGAAGCCAGCCAAAGCGCCGGATTTTCAGAGTGAGTGGGGACCGATACTTTGGGGGTCCACATAGTTGGCTGCAATACTACAATACTTTTCTAGCTATTTGGGGGCCGTTAGTCGGCTGTTGGTGCCGTTCTGCCCTTGTTGGTGCCGTGACTTAGCACTTATAGCTCCAATTCTTTGGCGATGGTGGGCTCCAGCAGCAACACGCCGTTTTCGCCAGCCCTGCCAAACCGCCCAGGAACACCGGTGTGCACGACTACATGCATAGAAACATCAAAACTTCAAAACATCGATCCATTACTGTAATGGATAGACTCTTGTCCATTTTGATGAATCACCCTCCCAGACACGGATGGTCAAACTTCATCATCCAGGCAAACGGTTTCTTTTGCATGATACTTATTTTACATATATTAATTCATTAAAGGAGTCTACATAACTATATAACCTTCCAGAGACCTTTCAAGGGGTCGCAGTAAACCGTCGTCTCGTCGTCTCGTCTCGGCCGAGGCCAAGCCATGGGAGATCGACCCGCGCTGACCCCCACGGTGTCCCCGGTGGCGCCGCACCTGGCCCCGGGGGGCGCCATGGGCCGCTGGGGCCGAAGGGCGGAAGGATGGAAGGACGAGTGCAATTTTCTGAGCCTACTGCGGTCCTGAGGGTCCTGAGTGCAGGAGGGTTTTGTAGCTTGGTCGTTTTCGCTGCCTGAGGGACTTCTGCCTTTTTGGCAACATCACTCACCTATTTTCCTGACCTTTTCCATTCAGCTTCAGGAGACCCTGAGCGACCTTAGCAATTCTACAGGGTGACAGTGCCCACAAACCAAGGAGCTTGGCCATGGACAGTGCCCACAGGCCAACTAGAAGTCAAGGGGCTCCATGGTCTGTTATCCACACACCTTATTGGGTGTTCAACTCCCTGCCCGTGCCCGTTGTTTCTTCGGCAGAGTTGCCCTCATCGACGGCTCAGGACTTAATGTACCAGCAGAGAGCTTCTTGGAAGCACTCCGGCGAGCTGTCATTTGGTACCTGAAGACTTGAGCCATTGATTCGGGTTTATCATTGATCCTTCCTTCCTTCCTTCCTTCCTTCCATCCTTCCATCCTTCCATCCTTCCATCCTTCCATCCTTCC